CCCCCCCCCCCGCCCCCGCCCTGAACCCCGCCGCGGCCGCCTGCGGGACCTGCCCGCTGCCGCCGACGTGCCCCGCTGCCTGGAGGCGTTCCCCGTGCTCCCCCCAGCCGCCGGGGCGCGCGGCGTTCATGCATGTTGCAGCCCTGTTGGTCTAAGAACTACAGCCAAGCAAAAATCTTGGGTTAGAGGCAATATCTCTTATTACACCAGCTAAATAGTAGCCAAAGAATGCCAGGTTTTTGGTCGTAGCTGTGTTGGTCTAAGGCAGGGGTGGACAAAATGCAGCCCGCGGGCTGGATACAGCCCGCCAGGTCATTCTATCTGGCCCGCAGGGCCTCTAAAAAATTTAGAAAATTAATATTAATCTGCCTCTGGCTGTCATGCAGCCCTCAATGGCTTGCCAAAACTCAGTAGGCAGCCCTCCGCCCGAAATAATTGCCCGCCCCTGGTCTAGGGACATAGGCAGGTGGTTCTGTGAGTAGATGTGATCTCTTTTATTAGACCAGCTGAGTTGATGGAAAAAAGTTCTTAGCAAGCTTTCAGGTGCAATCACCCTTCTTCTTGGGACTTCCTACACCTGAAGAAGGGTGATTGCTCCCGAAAGCTTGCTAACAACTTTTTTCCATCAACTCAGCTGGTCAAATAAAAGAGATCACATCTACTCAAAGAACCTTGCCTAGCAAAAGGATGTCTTTCTCTGCAAGCTTTTAGCTCCAAGCAGTCTTCTTCCGGCTGAGGAGAATTCAAAGATGGCAAAAGTTCTCCCTTTTGTGAGAGCCTTGCTCTGTGATGTGGCAGGCTTCTTCCCTGGAGCTGTTTGGTGCTAGGCAGGGAGGTAAAAATTTCTTCTTGGTTAGCAACGAAGTTTACATTTCCAAACAGCTAAAATACAATATTGTCCATGTTTCAGGGATATATGTTGTAGCTGTCTAAGAAATATAGGGGAGAATAAGGCACCTGTGCTGAAGAAGGGGGAATCCCTGCCCCAAATCTCACCCTAACTAGAGATCAGCTTGAACTCGAGCACCACCACCATTTCTGGCAGCATTGACTGTTACCCCTCTGGCTAGCCCAGACAGTGTCAGCCCTTCCTGAAACACTGCAAAATGTGGGTACTTAACCACCTCCTGTGGCAACAAACCCAGAATCTAATGATCCTTCATGTGAATGAAAACAATTGCTTCTTTCACTAGTTTTAGATGGATGAGGAGGTAATCCAATGTCTGCTTGAGGCAAGAGGCAAGGTGCTTCCAGTCTATCCCCACGATGCTATGTATTGTTTTACATACTTTTATTGTCTGCTCAATATAGTTGAAACACTTTTCTACAAGTCCATGTGTATTTTCCCCCTAGCTTGCCAGAAATGGTTGGAACAACTGGATCAGAAGAAAAGAGGAAGCCGTTTTAAAATAAGTCAGTGTCTTACAATGAGTCATCAGTCATTGGTTGCCAGAGGTTATCCAGGCTTACCCCAAAGAGGTTATTTGGCTGCCTTCCTTTCCTTGAATTTCTAGCTAGGACACATATTGACTTTTGTGTCTCTTTCCCACATTCTCTCCCTTTCACCTACCATACCCGAGACCAATTTGTCACTTTCCCCTGGTATCGATGTTTTAAATCTTCACATACAATACACACACCAAGAATGGTTGGGACAATTCTACACACACCAACTCTCCCCACCACATACAACATAGAACTTTTTCCATCATTATTGGTCTATCTTACAATATGTCCACAGTTGAGAATAATCTTATATGCAGCTAAGTAAGGCTTCTGCCTCTCCACCTACTAACCTCTCCATAACCAGAGAATTTGTTAACTAGAAGTATTATCCGCAACTTCTATATTTGCCAAAAAGCCGTGACCAAACAAAACCAAGACATTGTGATAAATAATATCCTCACTTGAAATCTTAAACTTATAGCTACTGTAATTGCTCTATTATAATATTATGTTAGTGATTATTTTTATGGTAAATAAAACATCATTTAATGTGCTCAAAGCAGTGAGGACAGAAGTGACGCACTCACCCACCAAGGTTACGTACACTGTACTGTTATTTACCCTTTAAATTTAGATAAGGTTAAAAGCAGCCATGGTGAAAGTAAAGAAGAACCAGAGCTCAAGTCATTTTTATCTACTAATGAATTAAACAATAATGTTTCTATTATGTTAAGTGAACAAGAAAAAATGCAACAAATACCAAACTGCTTAAAAGGAATTACGATGTAAACAGGAAAGAAAGGATAAGAAGAATTCACTCAAGGTAGTGCTCAGTTATATCAATTTTCTTCACTGAATGAGCACCTATGTTCTTCTCCCTAATACAAACCTAGTGTCATAATTCATTGTGTGTTAAAGCCGTGCTCCTTTAAACACGCACCTTTTACACAGACATGTAAAGATTTCAAATATAGAAGTGCCTACAAAGCTACAGTGTTAGTCTAGCTTAATCTTGAGTCCAGCATTAGAAAACAGGATGATTACATTTTCTACTATCCACATATGTATGGATAGTCTTTTGTATTGATCTTTTATACAGCTTCTCAAAGAGTGGTTCTATAATCTGGTACCCTTGTTACTCATCGTTATTTTAAGTAGTAGTGATTAATAAGGACTATCCATGTCATTGTGACTAATCTTTCTTATTGTACAATTAATTCTTCCACATGTTTTCTTCCCACATTTTGAGCCCAAACTAAAGCATTCACTTGCAATCATATCTGTATTTTAAACTTACAGATATTTTACTTAGGATTTCAGATGAATGTGTTAGCTTGGAAGTACAGCAGGCTTACTAAAGAAATCTACAGAAATATACATGAGTTGTGAGCTGGGGGAGGGAAGCAACATTAAATCTCATTGCTAAGAAGTGCACCATAAAATCTACACACATCATTTCCTCACACAATCATACCTTCAAAATATGCCTTACGCTGGAGCTTATACCTAATTTTAGACCACGGTTTTTCTGTTTTTCTTTCACAAAGGAAGCAGCTGTTCTATTGTTTCTCTTAACAACTAAGTTGCTTGGTGGTTTGATGGGAGTAGGAATTATATGTCTGATTTTATTTACCAGGGAATTTCATTTACTTCTAAATTCATATAATTGTACTTAGATACTATAGTAGTGGGTACCTGATAATTATATATAATTCAAATAATTATATATACATACTAAAGAAATTAGCTCCAGGATCATAAAACACCATATTTAATACTATTTGTTTTAATTTTGGATGAAATGGTGTGCAACAGAGAAATAAGACTAAAAGCTCTAAGAACCAGAGTATTCATGGGACATGGTGATTAGAGAAGCTACATGAGGTTAATGTTTTGAAATCAAGAAGGCTTTTGGTGGAGATCTATTATGCATCAAACAGATAAGGAAGGAGAAACAAGGGTGCATCTACACATGCACTTTACTGTGGAGTAGACTAATTCGCTCCGCAGCAAAGCATCACTGTTTACTTGTGCACCAGTGGAGTAAGTAACTGCACTGAAATATACATGTAGACATTGACAGGGGCTGGCTGGGGCATGAGGGTGCTAAAGTGCAGGGGTTGCCTGCTGCCTAGCCACAGGGCTCCATACTTTAGCACCCTCATGCCCCAGCCAGCCTCTCTACACCCAGACACTCCCCCTGGGCCCCAGGGCCTCCCCCCCCCCCCCCGGTGCCCTCTGCCAGCCCAGAGCTGCTCCGCCCTGGCTCAGATTGCTGCTGTGCCGGGCACACATGTAGACACTGTGCCTGGGAGCAAGCTTACTCTGGCTCCGACAGCTCTAGAGTTTATTGTTTCACATTAATAGCACATGTAGATGCACCCACTTGGTATATCTATATGTGCAGTTAACCTGACAGAATAAACTCTGGTGCCACTTGTGCTGGAGTTTATTGCTTGTGGGCATGCCATTTACATATGCGCCTAGGACTGCAGCACACTGAGCTGGGTTAGAATACCCCTGCAGGCAGAGGGCCCTAGGGGCCATCTGCTCCTGCCCAACTCAGTGAAGCATCCTCATGCCCCAACCAGCCCCATTAGCATCTATAGGTGCATTGTGGGGGAGTAAATAACTCTGCTGTAAGATAGTACTTGTGTCTGGCAGTACTATCCTACAGCAGAGTTAATTAATTTACTCCATCCTGATAGCAGTTCACGTGTAGACACTGATGTTTTACTGTGCAGTTGACCAATTAACTGTGCAGTAAATGTTGCAGTGTCTACACCTATTAAGGCGCACAAAACTAATAAACTCTGCAGCAGGATAGTCTTGTAAAATACAAGTACTACCTGCTGCGGAGTTTTTTTGTGTGCAGCAGTGCATGTGTAGACACTGCCTTGACTGGCAGGGTCACAGGGTGCTTTAGTGCAGGACTAGCCGGCAGGAAGCCCCTGCGCTGAAACATCCTCATGCCCTAGCCAGCTGCTTCGCAGCACATGGGGACCAGTCAGAGTAGCCCTGGACTGACTGCTCAGATGGGACTCCATGTGCCTGCT